CAGAAGCAAAGGCGACCATGAGTAGAGACACAAAGTACCCCATGAATTTCCTTGAATTATGTATGTCTAGGATATTATCTAGGATTTCACCTAGGATTTATCTAGGATAAAGTCTTAGACATTGTCACCATGGTGAGGTAGTCTGCAATTACTCACGGAATCCAACATGACTCACTGTCCTCTGAAGAATTTGTAATTCACCTCAGTGATTCTCGTTGTTAAGAAGAGGGAAGTTCTTGACTCTCAGAGTGAATCTTCTAGAGCCGACTTGTATTGGAAAATCCCAAAAGATTTTCTGGTCCTCATGAAACTAAGATATGAAACCTGAGCTCATAAAAGGTTTGTACTAGGGAAGGAAGGGCCTCTCTGTTTTATCTGTGTTTACCTGAGGTGAGCGAGGTAACGAATGGAGGCAGAGAGAGCTCTCTTCTATGGTGGCCCAGCTCCAGAGTTTCATTCTCTGGCTCCTTTTGGGTTTCCTTTCTCTGTTTCCTCCCTCCTCCTTCTTGAATCCACGCCCCCCCCCCCCCCCCCCCGCCAGCATAGCCGGTGTGCTTTCTCTTCTGTGGGACCTGCATGATCAAGTTCTGATCAAGACAGTAGTAAAGACAGACAAGCTGAGACAAAAGAAGGCTTCCAGTGAGGAACAGTCACTCAAAGCCATTTCTCTCCTCAACTGTCTCCTCAACTGTGTGCCTGGGTCTTCCATTAGAGTCCAAGTTTCCACAGCTTTCAGTAGAATGTGTCACAGTGGCACTGAAGCTATGGCTGTGATCGTGCTCATGGCCCACTCAATCCAAGGAGCCGTGGGATAAAATCCTGAAGGAGGATTTGTTCAAGGTCAACTGAGGGCAGCCCAGATTTGCTTGGGAAGGCATGGTTCAAGGTTTGGGCTGAACAGTGAGCGTTTGATAGCTTTAGCTTAGGCCCGTCACGTAGGTACTTTAGATCTGTACATGGGAAAAGGGTCCCATGGTCCGGGTTCCTGTGCCGCTTCGCTGAAGTCACATCTGTGGAGATTTTTGTTCTTTTTTTTCCCAGTTCATTTAAAGTCAAATATGTATTTATTAACTGTCTCGTGGTACTATTCCCTTTTCTTTTTCATGTCTGCAGAATGACCTACCAGTATGTAAATAAAGCACAATCACATAAATTGGAGACATACATACTTTCTTGAGATTTGCCTCTTATTGAGTTCCACCAGCCTGTGTGGCTTCTGTTTCCATGGCTGTTGTTTTCTGGACATGCTCTGCTTCAAGAACATTGGCCGCGATGGAACCCTGAATCTCACTGTCTTTCTGCCTCCTGTAGTCATTTCTCAGTGGGGTTGCCACATCCTCGGGTCCCATGGGGAGGTGCTTCCTCAGCCCTTCATGGTGCCAGAACCCACAGCCTCTCCTACAGCCTCTGGCACTGGTTCAGTTTAGGAGCAATCCCTGTGTCTTTCTCTTTCCATGTCTCCCTCTCTCCTTCTCTCTTGCTTCTTTCATTCTTTCTTTTTTACCACATTGGCATTGAACCCAGGGCCTTGTACATAGTAGGGAAGTGCTCTGCACCGACTCATACCCTCAGTCCCCCCCCCATCACCTTTTTTCTTAAATGTGGTTTGAACATCATTAAATTTAGGCTCCTGGAAAGAAGTCAGACTATAAACAGTGTGTTTGTGGTCACAATGCTAAATTAAGACATAAAGAACCTACTAGCAGCTTGAGGGGGCTTGCAGGAAAAAATACATGAAAAAATAGCTTAAGAATTTAAAACCTACTTCAACTCATTCTTATGGAGAACTGTGCAGACTTCTGATTCATCCTCTTCTCCCTAGCCATTGGCTGGTCATTCTCTGAGTCCATCTGACCAGTGGTTATCGTCAGTCAGTCCCTCCTGACAAGACTGATATTCTTTAACAGCCTAACTCAGCTCTCCCAGCATCATAGACATTGTCTCAAAACTTTATTATTCCCTAGAGAGATTCCCCTTAAAACAAGCGGTTTTACCTTCCCAGCAGTGTAGGCTACAGGCATCTCCAAGAGGACAATGTCATCTCCAGTCAGGTAAAAACTGGTCATCAGAGGCAAAACAATTTAGCTCATTCTGCATAAAGGAGAGAGACACTCGACTGAGAAACAGATACGCATCACATCTCTGGTGCTAACTAGTACAGAACAATAACAGAATGTTAAAAATGCCATTTATGGAGAGTGCTAACGAGTGCAGAGGAACACTGCTCCAGCTGTGACAGGAGGAAGAAATGGACAGGGCTGACTAGTGTCTGGTACTCCCTTGTCTCTCCCTCACGGTAGTCATGCGTAGACAGGGAAACTGACCTTAAATAACTCACGAGAACCACACAGCTTGTAGGTGACAGATCTGAGGTTTGAGGCCAGGTCTGTTTCCGTTAAATCTGGCTCCAGAGTTAAAGTCGGGTCACACATTTGAGTCACAGGCCCCTGCCCTTATGTATTCACCTCGTTACTGGAGAAGGAGAATAAGCGTGTGCACACGTGTGCACACACACACACACACAGACAGAGAGACAGACAGAGACAGACAGAGAGAAAGAGACAAAGAGAGACAGACAGAGACATCTTACTGAGTCCATTTAGCACAGTTTTGCTTCTGTGTTTGTTTTGGGATGGCTGTTTTGTTTGGTTTTTGAGACAGGGCTTCTCTGTGTAGCTTTTGGAGCCTGTCCTGGAACTCACTCTGTAGACCAGGCTGGCCTCAACCTCTACCTGCCTCTGCCTCCCAATTGTTGGGATTAAAGGTGTGCACCACCAAAGCCCAGCCTGTGTGTATGTTTTTAAGGCTGATCACTTGGGCTTGGATAAGATATCAAGGGGGCTTATCCCCAGAGAAAACGAATTCTTTTTCTTTCAACCACCATTGACTGTTTGTAGCTTTCCATTCAGCAGCCTTGTAATATGCACCCCCCATCCATGTTGACATGCTAACTGGCATTGTAATTACACAGGTCTTGCTTAAGTGAGCATATTGTTGAATTTTCATGGGTACAGCATCACTGTCTTATCTAGAATACACTATTTCACATCAGGGTCCTGGGCCTCTGTCACTTGTAATCTTTTTACCCCCTCTTCTGTGATGCTCTCTGACCTGTAGTTGTAGGGTTTCATTGTAGGTAATCTTTAAGCTGTACCAGGCTCACTATTTTTCCCTATTATTTAATGTAGTATTTATAACAATTCCTGATGTAGGAACACTTTTTACTTCAACTTTACAAGGAGAAAATTCATATTGAAGGCCATAACACAACAGACTAAGATGCTTAAGCAGGTTAGTTTGAGTCTAGGAATTAACTTGACAACATTTGAATTGCCCTGAAGCTGCCCATGTAGTCTTCATCCCCTTACATTTGACTCATTTGGAGTCACTGGTGAGTTGGGGCACAGGAGAACCAAAATGTGGGCATGTTCATCTACCCTCATTTTTGTCTAGGGCATTCTCTCACTTCTTAGCATCTCTGTTATTCCCTTGCATCTTGTATAATACATGCATGGGCCATTTCCTGCAATCTCCCAAGAACTGAATTCTGTCTTGCTGTGAATGAGACCAGTTCTTGCTTTCAGTAGATCAGAAACACACCCTCCTTATAGTGGGAGGTTCATTTCCAATGTCCTTAATGTTCTCCAACCAGATTCAGTGATAGGTCCTTACTGAGTATCTACCACCCTCTAGGTATATTTCAACACCAGGAATACAAAACAGACACCCCCTCCCAATTTCCCACTTTCTAGCCCAACACAGTTCTGTTACTCTTACAATTATTGAGTTAAATTCAGTATTTGAGAGGATTTCCTTATAATATTGAACACATGATCATTCTCTTTCTGAATCCTTGAGCTGCTTCTGCTTTCGAATTCATGATAGCAGGCAGCTTCCCCTCATAGAGTACTTAACTCACTGTCTCCTTTCATAATGGCATAAGCAGGTTAAACCATATTGTCCCCATTTCAAGTGGGTCATCTAGAAATCACGCCACAGACTATGAAAGAGGCAGGGTTTGGAAAGGATACCAGATAGTGCGGTAGCGGGGGTCAGGGGCATGGGAGTGTTTCTCCTTCTCTTCCTATCTGAGGAGAAGAGTCCAGGCCTGTAAAATCTTTAGCAAAGGAGAACAAAGCATAGGACACATGTGCGTGAAGAAGCCATGCTGGACCTGTTGTTTTGCATGATAACCGAAACATCAATATCTGCCTGTTTGGTTATTATAAATGCCTCTGTGTGTGCGTGCATGTCATAATAAGCGTGTGAAGGCCAGAGGACAACTTCCAAACATCTGTCCTCGCCCTCCACCATGTGGGCTCCTGGAGAACCAACTCAGGTCATCAGGTTTTGGAGGAAGCGTCTTTATCTGTTAAATCATCTCACAGGGCCCTAACAATTCATTCAAATTAACATTAGGAAGTAGCCAGCATGTCCCAGTTCAGGGAGATTGGAGGGAGTAGTGTCTAAATTATAGCCCACTTGTATACCCATGCACTAGACCCTTCATCTAGAAGCTGCTTGGGACGGGATTAAAGGGGTTGGACAGAGCCTTGTCCACACAGCACAGCGTATTCTAGCAAAACTATTTTCTTCACACATTCTTTTAAAATCTCCTTTAAAACACTTCTTCTATAATGGGTATAAGGAAAGCATCATGAGGAGAATCGACAACACCAAGCTTTCCAAAATTCTACTGGCAGAGTTGTCTTTGAGTCTTTGGTAGATTTGTTGTCCTTGTGACTTACCTATGCTCATAAGGAAGTAGCAGCTCAGGCTCACTGGTGATTTTGAAGAAATACACTAGAGATGCTTAGGTGAGTGATGACACTTTGACCCACTGTCACATGATTCTGAAGTACAGTAAGGGATGATATCAACTGTGAGTCACTCAGAGGATTTCACGTTCACAGATCCGGAGTAAAGCGTTATATAAAGCGGGCTTTAAGGGAACTTAGGGAGCAGAGTGAAGAACAGGCTCTGCTGTAAGGACTCTGCTCACAATGACATTCCTCGTGCTCCTCGTGGTCTGGCAGGTGTCTGCCTGTGTTGCCATTCCCATAAACGAAACAGAATTTGCAGAAGTGAGTATGGCAGGGCTGCCCTGGTCTAGCCCGTGTCTTTGATATCTGCTAACTTTGCAAGTTTTATTTGAAAAGTATGATTTAATTCTTTTTAGCATGTTTGGCTTTCCATAGAGGATCATCCAAATGACATGATGATTTTGTAAGAATGTAAACCTTTGGGTAAAAAGTTTAGCTCGATATAATTGGATTGCATTTCTGGTAGAGTGCTGTGTTTTGGTCTCCGACCCCATTTTGCCTTTTGTCTGTGTTAGTAATTTAGTGTCCATTAATGATGTGATATTTGGACATGACTTAATCTGTGTGGCAGGTTCAAATTTTCATGATAGTTATAGCATCCTCCATCTATGCTGGTTTATCTCAGATATTCATTCATAAGTGCTTTTAAACCTTATCTTTTTATAATTTAAAAAATGACCTCCTGCTTTCTAAAATTCCTTTTTGAGACCAGGCCAGCTGCGTTGCCTTGTCTGGCCTTGAACTTGTGGACTCAGATGGCCCTTCTGTATTGGCCTCCTCTGAAGCTGGCTCTATTTTCTAACATTATTTTGACTTTCATTTTATTCAAGTCTTCTGCTGTGTCAAGATTTTCCCCAATGCTGGGGATCAAACCCAGATCTTTGAGCATGCTAGGCAAGTGCCCCACCACTAAGCTACCTCTGCCAGTTAAGTCAAGTTTTGATGCAACCTAAATGGTTTGAGCACCCTGACAATAAAGATTTTACCACTTACAATGTGTCCTTATATGCTCAATGCTAAAATAGCTTCTAAAAACCCAGAAGCAAATCTCAAGAAGCAGTTTTTCCGCTAGGCTTTGGGGAATCTGACTATGACATGTTTAAATAGCATAGGAAGTTAAATTTTTCTTCCTTGTCATTGATGTCTAAATATTAATAATGTAGGCTGCGATTAAAATACCTGGCCCGGGAACATCAGCATGTTGCCGGCCATATTTGCAGGGCTCCCAGCGGAACCCTGGCCATGTACAACATGTACCGTGTGACTGTGCATATTACTTGTGTTTTGTCCAGAGGTACTTGACAAAATATTACGACTTTAACGAGGACAGAATTCAAAAGACAGACTGGAAAGCCAATCGAAACCCCCTAGAAGAAAAAGTCCAGGAAATGCAACAGTTCTTTGGGCTCAAAATAACCGGGCGTCTGGACAACCAGACTCTGGTGACAATGCACACTCCTCGATGTGGAGTTCCTGATGTGCAGAGTCTCAGGGCAGCAGCGGGGACAACAACATGGACGAAGCGTCATCTCACCTACAGGTAATGTCTGTATATGCCCCAGGGAATTCTACTTTCCAAGGGGTGTGCCTTCTAGAAACCCGAAACATTTAGCCACAGCAAAGGTTTAACTCTAAGGCGTTAACACTAAGGCATTCATTATTTCCAGGCTGGTGTGATGGCTCAATGAGCAAAGTGCTTGCCATACATGGGGGTCAGAGTTCAGACCCCAAGAGTCCATGTGAATGCCATTACAGGCATGGCGGCTGTCTGCAATACCAGCACATGGAAGCAGAGATAGGGGATGCCCAGGGAAAACTGGATGGCGAGATGATTGGGGCATGATTGAGGAAGATACTTGAGTCAACTTCAGGCCTCTATATGCACGCACACATGACACACATACTTACTTACACACGTGAATATGTGTATAAACACAGCACACCACACACACACACACACACACACACACACACACACACACACACACACAGTTCATTGTCTCTGTAAGGAGAGTTGTTCACTGAAGGAAGACTTGCAGCCATTCGCTTGTCAGTCAGTCCAGAGCAGAGCAGAAAACCTGCTAGCAAACAGAACGAAACTGAATTGAATATAAATAAAAGACAGAAGTCTGAAGAACATTAAAGATGGACAAATGTGGAATTTGGGCACAGTTTATGAAAGCAAATCCTCTTTTACGAGGTTTCAACTGAAGAATGGATGAAGAAAATGTGGTATATTTACACAATGCAGTACTACTCAGCGGAAAGAAACAATGACATCCTAAAATTCACAGACAAATGGACAGAAGTAGGAAAAACCATCCTAAGTGAGGTAACCCAAAACCAGAAAGACAAATATAGTATGTACTCACTCATCAGTGGGTATTAGACATAAAGCAAAAGATACCCAGGCTATAATCCACAACCCAGAGAAGCTTGAACCCTCTTCCAGAAACAAATGGAAGCAGATGCAGAAATCCACAACTAACCATTGGGCTAAGCTCCTGGAGTATGGTCGAAGTGAGGTAGGGACAATAATATGAATAAAGGAGTCAAGATCATGATGGGGAAACCCACAGAATCAGCTATTCTGAGCTAGTGAGAGATTACTCACTCAGGTCTGACAAATGGGGAACCCACATAAAACTCTCTTAATCTAAGTGGCAATGGTGTGACTGGGACAGTATATGAGGCCACTGGCAATGGGTCCAAGATCTGACACTAATGCACAAACTGACTTAGTGGAGCCCATTCTACATGGAGAGATACCTTTCCCAGCCTAGACACAGGGGTGTGGGGTGGAGAGGTGCATTGGTCCTGCTCACCTAGATGATGGGACAGACTTAGTAGACTTCTTAGGGGAGGTCTTACCCTTTCCATGGCGTAAATGGGAGGAGGGAGGGAGTGGGGGGAGTGGGAAGAGAGGAGGAAGGGAGAACTAGGATTGGAATGTAAAAAAATGAATGAATAAAAAAGAAAGCAAATCCTTCACAATAATTACTAATAACTTATCAATAAGAAGAAATTCATTTACATTTTGATGGATAAAAGTTGTCCAAAAGGGGAAAAAAATGTTTGAACTTCAGCATTTTTTAAAGCATGGACTGTCCATACATGGGGAAGTTCTTCCAGCAGGTGTGGGTACAGAGCGGAGAGACTAGAGGAGACAAAGTTAACCAACGGTGTCATATTTGTTCCCCTCTTTCTCTAACACAGGATCTATAACTACACCCCTGACATGAAGCGGGAGGACGTGGACCACGCATTTCAGAAAGCTTTTCATGTCTGGAGCGACGTGACCCCGCTGAGATTCAGGAAGGTTTATACAGGCGAGGCGGACATCATGATACTCTTTGCATCTAGAGGTACCCAGCTTCACTTCTGTCATTTGCCTGGCGGTGTGGCAGCATCGGTCACCACACCACATCATGACACCAAGTGCTGTGCCCTGTGATGCCATGCTTTCTGATTAGATGTAGCTGACTAATGGCTTTCCTTCATTTAAAAAGCTCATGGAGACTACAGTCCTTTTGATGGCCAAGGTGGTACATTAGCTCACGCTTTTTACCCTGGACCTGGTATTCAAGGAGATGCACATTTCGATGAGGCAGAGACCTGGAGTAAAGGCTCTCAAGGTAGGAGAGGTTTGGTTTTGTTTTTAATGAAAACTAGCTGTAACTAAATTTAACTAGATTTAAGATAAGCCCTGATCTTGAAAGAATATATTTCTGATAAAATAATAAGTCTTAAATATCAGATTCTGATTGTTCACCTCTAAATCAAATTTAAGGTTTTCTATACTTAGTTCAGTTTTTCCTTACTGCAAATTGGAATATTGGGTGTGATTACGTTAGAGATCCAATGAGCAAGTTCTGGGCTGTAAACTCTTGGAAAGGGTTTGGACATGTAAAATCTATAAACTTAAAAGCAAACACTAATTCTGTGATAGATTGTTTGTTGACAATTTCTTAGACTTATGATAAGGTGGCAAGATATTTATAAAATATTTACAGAACCCCTATGGAGAAGTAGAAGCTCTTTAGGTCATCTTGGAGCCTTGCATGATCTTGGGATACCATTTTCAGAATGTCCAAGCAATCAATTGGGACGGTAACTTCTCTCACTCAGATAATGGGGGATGAGGTTAATTTATTATACCTTTACTACTATTATTATTATTATTGGAGGCCATCCCTAAGATGCTTTAAGCCAACATTTCAGTAGCTTTTCTAATATCTCTTGGAAGCTCTTACTTATATAATTCATGTGGAAGACATAGGAAGACCTTCAAGAATGTGGTCTCTCTGAATCCCCCTTCTTTGATTGATTTTCATATGCTGTATAGCCATATTACATATAGCATGTCTACTAGAAAGGTAGACACACAGCCTACGGCTTTGGTGACACAGCTTTGGTAAAGGCATTTTGAAGTCTGCAGAGGTAAATCATGTATAATTTGGTACTTACTGAGCTGCAAATTCTCAACCAGACATGGTCCATGTGTGAGATTTTCTCCAGGGTCATTTGGAGGCTGGTTGTAAGTTCTTCACCAAGTGACAATGCCTTGGAATTCTAATGATCCTAAGAAACATAAATCAATGCAGCTGCTCTCACCTGAGGAGAGCAAACAAAAGTCAGTAGCAAGTTTGTGTATGACTAGAACATGTGCTATTGATTATTGGCCTTTTTTTTTTTTCTTTTTCTGAGACAGAGTTTCTCTGTGTAGCTTTGTGGACCAGCCTGGCCTTGAACTCAGAGAGATCTGCTTGTCTCTGCCTCCCCAGTGCTAGGATTAAAGGTGTGTGCCACCTCTGCCTGGCTATTCCTGGTAATAGAGGATTGCTCTGACAATACTTATTTAGCCTATAATGACACTACTGAGGCTGAGAAAAGCTATTGGAAAGAGTGGGGAAATAAGTAAGGGATTCTCAAATGCCCCCTCTACTGTTAGAAGTGCGTTGTTTCCTTCCAAATGACAAGGCAATGGGGTGGAGAGTTGCTCAGAGGCTAAGAGAGCACACTGAGCTTGTCGAGGGCCAGCATTCTAGTTTTATTCCCAGGACACAGGTCAGGCAGGTCATAACTGCCCAACTGTGGCCTCTGCAGGCACCTGCACTCATGTGCATGGCATAGTCACAGGGGACGACATTCAGCCACTAAAGGATGGACTTCTATCACATAAATGGACCTGGGGTTTCTATAAAAAGGCCAGGCTTAAGAAGACGAGCACCCTATTATCTCATTCATATTTAGATATGAGAAAAGTTGCTCTCACAAATACTGACAGCAGAGTGGTGAGTACCAGTGGCTGAGGAGAAAGGGGAGGCAGGTGGGTGATGGCTGATCCCTTGGTACGAAGTCACAGTTAGGAGCATGGAGCCATCCATGTGGCTCAGCAATACAGCTATCGACAATAGGACATTATTTATTTCAAAAGGCTGGAAGAAAGGATTTTGAGTGCTTTCACCAAAAACAAATGGTACATATTTGATGAGATATATTTATCTGGTCTTGAACATTATGCAATGAGTGTAGGCATCAAAACATAATACCCCATCAACATGTACAATTTTATTTGTGAGTTAAATAAAAAGTGATAATCTACTTCGTAGATTTGTTTTTTTAATTTCTTGCATTTTAGGCACAAACCTGTTCCTTGTTGCTGTTCATGAGCTTGGCCATTCCTTGGGACTGAAGCATTCCAACAACCCAAAGTCAATAATGTACCCAAGCTATAGTTATCTTAACCCCAACAAATTCCGCCTCTCTGCTGATGACATAAATAGTATTCAGTCTCTCTATGGTAAGATGAACCTCATAATTTGCCAAACAATGCCATGAATTCTTCTGAATACTCTCATTTGTATGTTTGGAAATTTTTAGTAATTTAAACCCCATGTGTATGTTGTGAGATAGTCTTTCCTCTTACAAAATTTCACCAAACAAACATCAAAATGTACTTTTCAGGGTCCTCAGTGAAAGCCCCACACTTGGGAAACCCTGTTAGCCCATCATCAACTGTCTGTCAGCAAAGCTTGAACTTTGATGCTGTCACAACAGTGGGGGATAAAATCCTTTTCTTTAATGACAGGTATGATCATTTTCATAGTCAATCAATGTCATGTGATACGTGGTTAAATTTGTTAGCTTTTTATTGTTTGTTGTCAGAAGATATTTAAAGGATGTAGATCAAATTTGTAAGGCAAATTTGCAGAACTTGAATCCCAAGTTTCAGAGAGATATTAGATTTTTTAAAACAGTGAATTGGTGTGATACCATTTGTGCTGACTAGGAAGTTAGTGTGTGAAGAAATTAACTTTGTAGGAATCTGGATGGGGAATTAAAAGACAGGACATGGAGAAGCATAGGTAAAAATGATGAGGTCTCGGAGATTGGGGGATGGGTCTGTTGGCAAAGTGTGCAGTGTCCAGCAAGGGGGTCTGAAATTAATCCCGAGCTATTGCGAGTAGGTTTTCCCTGCAGGCCTGGACCTACCACGGCGCCAGCCCCAAATAACACACAGAGACTCTGTATTTGATATAAAGCTGTTGGCCAAGTACTAGTTTCTTATCGGCTAGCTTTGTCTTAAATATTAACCCATTTTTATTAATCTGAGTATTTCCACGTGGTCTCATCTTACCAGAAAGTGGATCTGGACCTCTGTTCTCTCCAGTCGCTACATGCTGACTCCTCCCTACTACTTCCTTGAATCCTCCTTGTCTCCTAGTCCCATCTATCTTCCTTTCCTATTGGCCAACAGTGCTTTATTCATTAACCAGTAAGAGAAACATATTTACAGAATGACATCTCCCATCACCCAGCCCCACATAGAAATGTTGAGGGACAGCCACACAGATTATGAATCCCAGTGCAGGGAAGGAGATTAGGACTTCTGGGACTTGTGGAGTCTAAACTAGTCTAACTGAACCCAAAAGTCCAGGCTCAATGAGAACATATGTCTCCAAAGATAGGCGGTGGAAGTGATTGAGGAAGACACTTGTCGTCTCCACACACAGGTGTGCAAACACATATACATGTACATGTACATGTACATATACATATACATACATCAACACCTACACACACACACACACACACACACACACACACACTCACTAACTCTTGAAGAAGATCATGTGTAGACTTCCTTGTGCATGGAAAATTCCAGAATGACTCCTAGTTTCTGTTTTGGAGCAGAGATGGAGACAGATGCTGGGGAGAGGAGCAGAGAGGGCTAACATGTGGGAGGGAGGGTGGATTCCTGCTTTTGAGATTATAAAACAGTAACTCTTCAACACCAGATAACCGTACCTTACAATCTTGTGAAGCCACACCAGAATCTGAGATCCCTGGAATCCAGACTTTGGGTATTTCTATTTTAGTGTTCCTGTTTAAGTCAGGTTCTCTTTCACGATGTTAGCACACAGAAATCTATGGACTAGGATGTAAAAATGAGGAAATACTGAATAATTTCACAAGTTCCCATTGTGTTTTGAAGAATGTACACCTACAGCAATTTTTCACATATATGAAATGCATTTACCACCAGGTTCTTGTGGTGGAAGCTGCCTGGAAATCCAGACACCAATATCACTTCAGTTTCTTCCATGTGGCCAACCATCCCAGCTGGTATTCAAGCTGCTTATGAAATCAAAGGCAGAAATCAACTCTTTCTTTTTAAAGGTAATCCCAATGCTTGGTTCTGTCACCGAGAATGCTTTAAGGGGAAGAGAAGTAAAGGACAAGGTATCACTTCTGCAATCAGAGATCTGATTGATAAGTTAACCTATAAGCTCAGCTATACAAGAAATACAACTTTTAGGATAGGTGTGTAACATATGAGATGGTGGCACTTAAAACATCCAAACCACAGAGCCAAGGAAGTAAGCCAATGATTGCGAACAAAACCAGGGTGGGGGTAACATTTCTCAGTGACAGAGAACCTACTTACTATTGATGGGGGCTCCGGCTTGCCCCACCCCCACCCCAGCACAAATAAAATCTGCACAAGAGAGATGTTTTATATTAAGCCAGTATTTGTATTATTCTTTGGAGTGATTTGTTGTGCTTTTTGTCTTTGTCCTTACAGATGACAAGTACTGGTTAATAAACAACTTAGTGCCACAGCCATACTATCCCAGAAGCATACACTCTCTGGGCTTCCCTGCGTTTGTGAATAAGATTGATGCAGCCATCTTTGACCCATCCCGTCATAAGGTCTACTTCTTCGTGGATAGACAATATTGGAGGTGAGATCCAATGGCTGGTATTTCATCCACTAAGATTTGAGGCGCAGGCACAGCATGGAGATTTCCAGAAGGCAGCTTTTGTTTGTTTTTTTAATGATCATCTAGTATATTCTTAATTTTTATTTTGTTGATGTTTCTGCCTATAGGGTGCTGATACAGAAGGTGGCTTTTCTATGAAAGTTTCTAATTTCTTTCCCTTTCTTGGGAGATGCAACAAGAGAATATGGTCAACCTGGTTCTTTCCTCTAGGCCATGGGTTTTTGATTTATTTTCATTTTGGAGAGTGTCTGGACTCCAGGACTCCTTCTCATAGCAGACAAAATGAGTAACCTGTCCTTCGAGTGACAAGTGAACCACAGGGAGGCCAGGTGCTCATTTCAGCAGGCCTGGTTGTCTTACTCACCTAATGTTGAAGAAGGGAGGGACATAACAGGATATACTAAGATAGTAAAGCCTCTATGTTTTCTTGAATGTTTAAAATTCAACATCTAATTTCAACTGAATGCCATATATTTATGACATAAATTGATTTGCCAATGTTAGCCTTGTTTGAGAAATAGGACTTGTGGTTTCACCAAATAAGACGTTCTGGAGAGGTGACAAACAGGTGCAATTTATTGTAATCCAGCAGTCTGTATTTTGTTGTTGTGATTGATTGATTGATTGATTGATTGATTGATTTTTCAAGACAGGGTTTCCTGTGAAATAGTTCTGGCTGTCCTGGAACTCACTCTGTAGACCAGGCTTGCCTCAAACTCACAGATAACCACCTGCTTCTACCTCCTGAGTGCTAAGATTAAAGGTGTGTGCCACCACAACCTGCCATAACCCAACATTCTTAGAAATTTGTCTGACTACTGGCTCTCCTTTATATTTTCAACTGACCAAGGAATTTCTGTTTCCTTGATGCCAGAGGGCCAGTGTGGAACAAACAATGGTCGGAGAACTAAACTGAATGAAAAAGAAGACAACGACCATGTTCAATTGTTCCATGGAAGTCTGGAGAAAATTGACTCTTTTCACTCAGTTCTGAAAGAGACTTTATGGAAATATTAGAGCCCCGTTCTCCAGTGTGGACATGACGTGATTTACTTTTAGTTTTTCTTTAACATGATGTTCAAAACCCATTGTTTCCATGACTCTTCACTATGGGATAAAACCATTGATATGTGTCTTGGTAGAAAAGATTTGCAAAAAAATGGTGATAGGCAAGTAATCATTGGGCCACTGAGGGCTGTCAGGTATCAAGCCCTCTTCAATGTCAGGCTGCATGGGAAGGGACTGAGCAATGGGAAAGGCACTGTGAGAGTAGGAAGAGATTTGACTAGAGTCAAGGGCCAAGTTTTGACCCCTGTAGCAACTTAGGGAAAATCAACCAACTGTTTAGGTCTTTCTACTTTTCACCAGTACGTTTAAAACACTTTTGGGAAATGATGGATATGTGCTTCCTGTTATGATGTCCATCTTCTCATTGTGTCCCTGCTGACCATTTCCTCCTGCAGGTATGATGTGAGGCAACAGTCCATGGACCCTAGTTATCCCAAACTTATTTCCATGCACTTCAAGGGAATTCAGCCTAAAATTGATGCAGGTTTTTATTTCAAAGGTAAGTAGACTGAGGAAATATTGGGGAATATTGAATGCAGACTGGGACCCAGGGTGGGTGTAAGATGCTTGCCTGTGTGGTGTGAACAAAGTCGCCTGTCAGTGTCACATAGCGATGATACAGTCTACATTGTGTGAGATGAGCCGCATAACACATTTAACAAGAATGGAAATCTTGTTTCATTCCTTCTCCCTCCTACTGAGTGGACCAAGATTTAAGAACAAGATTGAATTCTCTCCAGCCTTTTCCTCCTTCAAGATCCCTGTGTGCCTGACCTAGACCCATGTCCTCTCTTGAGACATCCACCCAGAGAGCGACTTTCTCAGGGCAGGGTGCACTGCCAAGGTCCCTGATATTAACATCTCAATCACACGTTTTGTAGTCTAGGTAATCTTTAAAATCAACTCTATGTTTTAAAGGAACACAACGTGAGAATTAAACAATTGAATTTGTTCCCATTTTAGGACACTACTACATCTTCCAAGGAGCCAATCAATTGGAATATGACCCCCTGTTGAATCGTGTCACCAAAAGGCTGAAAAGTAAAAGCTGGTTTGGTTGTTAGGAAGGATGCATTTAAGGGTGCTTGCCAGCTCTTCAGTTTAATTTGTATTTATCACATCTTCACCTTATGCTCAGGGCAATAACGTGATCTGAAATAAGGTGTGGTGTACAGGCTACAGATGAATATTTACACAGGAAAAGATGCTTTTACAAAATTGATCCTCTTCTGGCAAACGTTTTCACTTGATCCTTTTCTTACTTTTGAGGGCAGATACCCACCAAAGCTGCTAGGTTTTTCTGTAGGCTGTTTTCTAAGAACCTTCAGGTGTGTAAATTAGAATTGCTTCCCTGTCTTTACTGAAATTTAACATGTATAATTTTCTCAAATAAAATGTAAAGAATTTAGCTTTTGATATTTTTTTCTTTAAAAATATTGTGTGGTGGTGGTGGTGGTGTGTGTGTGTGTATGTGTGTGTGTGTGTGTGTGTACCACGTGTGTGCATGCTGATAGAGGCCAGAAGAGGCCATCAGATCCCTAGAAACTGGAGTTGGAGATGGTTATGGACAGCAGACTTGTGGGTGCTGGGGATTGAACCTGGAACCTCAGGAAAAGTAGCCTATGGTGTCAACATCTGTGTCATCTCTCTGGTCCTGTTTTGTTTGTTTGGTTGGTTTTGGGTTTTTTTTGTTTTGTTTTGTTTTTTGTTTTTTTTTCCCTTAAATATTTTTCTTGAGGAACAAAATGAATTTTGAAAATAACTCTAGCTTCCAAAAAAAGTCTCTCTGTGACTGTATCAAAGACTCACTAGAGATTTGATAGCTATGAAAAGCTTGGAGTCCTTTTGATCAGTTGTGTAAGGACACCTGTTTAATCCTATGACAAGACAGCATTCTCCAGCGTGCACATGTCCCCCAAACAACTGCAGCATGTGACCACAAGACTTGAGAGAAGTTGAAATGGGACGTTCATTCTTGTTAGATGTGTTGTGTGACTCGTTGCACATCAGAGAGTGGGTTGTGCCATTGCTGTGAGAACTTACAGGGTCTTAAATCTAAGACTCCTTAAAAATAGGAGAAAATGTGAGTAGCACACACCTCTGAGCTTGTTGTGGACGAAAGGTACATCATGGAGGTCCCCTCACGCCTGCACCCTGACCTCCTATCAGTTTCCCACATTGCTCCGACATCGAGGCTCCCTATCCTCTGTACTGTGTGTGCTGTACTGCTCTCATTTAAGGCCTCTGGGTTTGAAATGTGTCCAGTCTTGAAACTGACTGATGCATTCACCCAGACACAGAAAGCCCTCCATGGCAGATGAGCATGCAATCATGTTTGCAGTGACATGAACTGAAGTTGTAAGGATGTGGGGAAGGGTCTCTCTAGCCGTCATGTCTCAGATGTTGTGAGTGATGCTATTCATCATCAACTTGATGGGATCTGGGGTCATGTAACAGACACGTGAAGACTGTGCAAAGAAGTTGGACTGTGAGAGGGATTCCCACTTGCAGAATGGTACTGGGTTGACTACACTGGAACACCCGTCACGGAAAGGGCGGCACTCTGTCCTTACAATGATAGATGCCTGAATTCTGGCTATGACTTTCTATTTCATGTACATAATGCTTCTGCTCAAACTATCGCCCAGGAACTTACAGAACACCTTATCTGCCATCATGCCATACTGCATTGCGTTGTTTCTGACCAGGGAACTCATTGCACAGCCAAAGTAGCATTAGGCTCATGTTCATGCTCTTGGAATTCACCTGTGTGTTCCACACAGTCCCAATACATTCAGCTTGATAAAACACTTGCTGTTTAGGCTGCTCTAAGCCTTTGATTACTTTCTAGATTTTTTTTTTTTATTTTCGGTGTTAGAGATGAACCCAGGGCCCTGTGTATGCTAAACAGGCACTATCTTTTTAAGCTACATCCAGCCCATTAAGATTATGAAAAGGTTGAGTTTGTCAGTTAACAGCTAGTTGTTGCTTTTATGAAAAAGGGATATTTTGGTTGACCTTATTCTATCACCCTAGGTAACATGGCTCTTAAATGATTAATTTTAGTGTTGACAGCAAAAAGGTTTAAAACCCTAAATTGGTGCTCACAGTAACTGTTAAAATATTTATTTCAAAAGCTATATTATATAGCAGACTCAATAGCTAAAATATACATGTTTTCTGAGATAGTCTAACATATAAAAGCTCTTTAAAGTCTTGCTGGCTGTTAAGGATGGAGAGGTGGCTGTGGCCATGGACCAACCATGAGGACTTCCTGTAATGGGTGGAGTCTAGTAATTTAAAAGCTCTAATATGGTCTTTAATGAAAAGTGTCTCTGCCACTCACTTTCTGAGATCATCTTTTCTGGCTGCATGTTCTGGGTTAGTATGACTGTCCTCATGGTTTTGAAGACATTGAGCATATCTTCATGCATATATATATATATATATATATATATATATATATATATATATATATTTTACAAAGCTTATAATGCTTTAAAATGAGCTCTCTTTTGTTTTGTTTTGTAAAACAAAAAATAGGCATTAAAAAATTTTGTTCTCTGTTTTAGTCACTTGTGTTCTACTCTGAAAAAGTTCAGTAATTGTCTCCTTTGTGACATTTTTCTTAATCATTTGATCATATCCCTCTGAGAGTCAAACAAACAAAAAAACATCAGTCATTCTTCATCATAGCCCCTTATTCTTTTTTAAATCAATAATTTAGAAACAATCTTATTTTACATACCAATCCCTGTTCCCTCTCCCTGCCATCCTCCCATCCCCCTCCCCCCACCATCCCACCCCTATCCACTCCCCAGAGAGCATGAAGCCTTCCATGGACGATCATCAAAGTCATAGCCTCCCTTATTCTTTCAAGCACTCTGTTGAGTCTTCATTTTATCTTACTCTGATGTCCAATGGACTACTTTTCACATTTGTCTTCAGGGTTAGAAATAGTCTCTTCATCTGCTTGTCATCAACTCTTTTTTTAAAACTTTTGTTTATTTATTTGTTTACTTATATATCTGTTTATTTATTGTGTTTTCAAGACAGGGTGTAGCTTTGGAGCATGTCCTGGAACTTGCTCTGTAGACCAGGCTAGCCTCGAACTCACAAATAGCCACTTGCCTCTGCCTCCTGAGTGCTGGGATTAAACGTATGTACCACCACTGCCTGGCAAAAGTTTTGTTTATTTTATTTTATATGTATGTGCATGTACCTGAGTGTATGCATGTGACCTTGAACATTCAATGCCTGAAGAGGCTGGCAGAGGGCACCAGATTCCCTGGAACTTGTATTATAGGTAATTGTGAACTGACTAACATGGGTGCTGGGAACTGAACTCTGGTCTTCTATAAGAGCAACCAGTGTTCTTAAGATCTAGCCATCTTTCTAGCTCTGTAATCATCTGTTTACCTCATCCACTCTGACTTTACATTTGAGTAAAAGTGAGGATTCCAAAGTTCTTCCTTGATTTGTTTTCAAACTGAACTGCTTATGACTTACTTTCTTGTTGCCTGCTCATCTTTGTGATTTTTTTTTTATCTCTTACCCTTTTATATTTTAAATTCTTCATTATTTAGTAGGATTTAATACTTTTTATGTGCAAAGACCTTGTAGATTGAAGTTCAATGTTTGCTTTTCAGTTGGCTTTCATGGGTAGAGTCTTGTCCCGTTGTGTATTAGGGAAGCATTGCAAGCTCATTTTAAAAACATCTTAGGCTTCAGGCCCTGAGCAGTATCAGTGAGAGGCCTGAATCCCAGCCCAGAAGCAGCATCAAGGAACCACGAGCTTCAGACCCAGGAATGGAGTAATCACCTGGTAAAGCAACAGCAGTGCTTTACAGCAATAGTTTCCAGAAACTACCGCAAAAAGTTCCTCTGGGAAAGAGCACCTCTGTCCCAGCCAGCATCCACTGCCATCTCTTGATGGGAGATACCCTGCTACTACATCAGCTCAGCCCTTCTAGCCCTCCAACAGGAAGAACACCACGGAATTGTAACCCCACCTGCACCTCAAGGAGTGACCACCTGAACATTGGGCCCATGTCCACCAGGAGGAGCGTTCACCAGAAGCTCTGCTCTGCTTGTGTCTGAAGGAAGAGTCAACAGAGCCACCGCCCCTAACAATACTAATTGGAGAAAGAGAGACCCTTGAAGCACAAGCTTCACCTGTACTGATTAGAGGAAGAAATGTATAGACAACAAGGTAAGGACACACTCAACAATATAAAGAACAATACGGCATCACTAGAAACCAGTGGTGCTACAACAGCAAGACCTGACATCCCAACACAGATGAAGCTGAAGAAAAAGACCTAAAATCAACTCTATGAGGATGACTGAGGCCCTTAAAGAGGAAATGAAAAATTAAAGAAATGGAGGAAAAGACAAACAAAAAAATTGGAAGATATCAACAAATCCCTTAATGAAAACCAAGAAAAACCAAACAAGTGAAGGAAATGATGAAAGACATGAAATCTGAAACAGAGGCAATAAAGAAAACACAAAACAAGGGAATTCTGGAATGGAATATCCCGGGAAACAATCAGGAACCACAAATGTAAGCATAAACAATAGAATACATGAGATTGAAGGGAGAATTTCAAGCACTGAAGATAACTTGGAGGAAATAGATTCTATGGTCAAAGAAAAATTTAAATCCAACAAATGCTTATGACAAAACATGTAGGAAATCTGGAACACTATGAAAAGCCGAAACCTAAGAATAATAGGGATAGAAGGAGAAGTCCAACTCAAAGGCACAGAAACCATATTCAACAAAATCATAGAAGAAAAACTCCCCAACCTAAAGAAAGACATGCCTATGAAAATACAAGAGGCTTATAGAATACCAAATATAGAACAAAAAAAGAAAGAAAGAAACAAACATAAAATCCCAGTCTCTTTGCCACTTGCCACATACTATTCAAAACAATTTAACTTATAGAATAAAGAAACAGTATTAGAAGCTGCAAAGGAGAAAGGCTAGGTAACAGGTAAAACATAAAGATATACCTATCATAATTACACCTCACTGCCTTCCAGTGCTTCAGAGCATCCTGAGGACTGAAGACTGGAACCTTCTCTAAAATCAACCACATACTCAGCAATATAGTAAACCTCAATAGGTACAAAAAAAAAAAAAATGGAATAGCTCCCTGTATCTTATCAGACCACCATGATTCAAAGTTAGAATTCAACAACAACCCATATTGCAGAAACCCTACAAACTCATGGAAATTGAACAATGCACAGTTGTACCATTCCTGGGTTAAGGAACACATAAAAAAAGAAATTTAAAACGTCCTAGACTTCAATGAGAATGAAGACATGACTTCTTAT